CTGGACCTCAACCGCAAGGATCCGATCGCAGTGTGCACCGCTGGACCTCAACCAGATAGTTTGCTAGATAAAATCCACAAACACACAGCAAACACACAATCACAAGCACACGACCACAAACGCGCAACCACAAACACACAACCACAAACACAATCACAAACCACAATCACAAACACAATCACAAACACACAACTACAAACACAACTACAAAGACACAATCACACACACATAACCACAAACACAAAACCACAAACACACAACCACATCACAAACCCACAATCACAAACACAATCACAAACACACAACTACAAACACAACTACAAAGACACAATCACACACACATAACCACAAACACAAAACCACAACCACACAACCACAACCACACAACCACAAACACACAATCACAAACACGCAACTACAAATACAATCACAAACACACAACTACAAACACAACTACATAGACACAATCACAAACATACACACAACACACAACCACAAACACACACACACACACACGCAAACACACAACCACAACCACACAACCACAAACACACAACCACAAACACAAAACCACAAACACACAACCACAAACACACAAACACACAACCACAAACACACAACCACAAACACAACCACAAACACATCCACAAACACAACCACAAACACACAACCACAACCACAAGTACAAACACACAATCACAAACACACAACCACAACCACAAGTACAAACACACAATCACAAAGACACAACCACAACCACAACCACAACTACAAACACATAATCACAAAGACACAACCACAACCACAACTACAAACACATAATCACAACCACTACCACTACCACAAACACAACCACAAACACATCCACAAACACACAACCACAAACACGCAATCACAAAGACACAACCACAACCACAACTACAAACACACAATCACAAAGACACAACCGCAACCACAACCACAACTACAAACACACAATCACAACCAGTACCACAACCACTACCACAACCACAAACACACAACCACAAACACACAACCACAAACACACAACCACAAACACAACCACAACCACAACACAGCACACAACCCGAGGACCCACAAGCAACATCGAGAACTACAATACTAACGACATCTAACGACTATGGCAACATGCTCCGCACTATGGCATCAGGACAAATGATTGAAATGTCATGGTGGGGATCACTCGAAGTAAAGTATTTTTTTTAAAGAGTTGCTTTGGGCTCGTTGTGTCTTCGGATAGGGCCAAAGATGATGATGAGGTTGAAGAAAAGCCCGCTCAGCGAGACTCTAGTTGACCCATCCAGCCATCCAGGAACCCCCAATAGAACAATATCCTGGTACTGGCAGTTCCAGCTCCAATTAAAGATGCATCCAAGGACCAAAGAGGATGATACGCTTTGACTCACTAACATCAAAAGACTACACACCTTGCAATAATCATGGAAGTGGATGGCATAGCAACTGAAGTTTACACGGCAATAGACACCAAAAAACACAGCCGGCTTTCAGAGCTACCTCTGTTCATCAACCTGCCGACGCCATGGCTGCCTTCGAATATTGCGTCATGGACGTGGCCTGGCCAACCAGCGTGGAGGACCAGAGCCTCCTACTTCGCGCCACTTGCTGTGCAGATTGGCACCAACCACCTCCTTGGACGCGGATCGAGTTTCCCTACCTTGGGGCCTTCGACGTTCGTGGAACCTTCGAGATCTGCGAGCTGCACATCTTTTGGAGAGGGCCAGGCAGGATCTTGATGGCACGAACCGTGCCGAAGAGCGTGCTGTGGGTGAGCGCCCTGGAAGCCCATAAGAAAGGTCTGAAGGCGACGCACAGGGTGAACTTCTGCTTCCTACTCTGATGATGTTCATACTTATGTATCCGTCCACTCGATCTCGCTGATGCGGCTTCGGCAAGTCGCCTTTTCTGACACATCTTTCAAATCGTAACTCCCTTCTGTCAGCTACCTAGCCTCTTGATGTCTAGGTTCTAGGTTTCTTCTTCGAGCAACTTCCTGCATCATCGTCTGATGTCGACTCGCTCTTGTTCAACTTGTCTATCTATGTTTCTCATACTTCATCCCTGTTGTGAGCGCTTCTCGCTTTCGAGTCACTTTCTTTAGCTTCCCTTCTTGTTTATCCTCCGTTTCGTGCGCGTTTTTGTTTCGCGCGCTTCTTTGACTTTTTCCATACTACTTGGATTCTTTTTGTTATCTATGATTAAGTTTCTCCCTGCGGCATCCCTATCGTTTCGATGTTTGTTCGCTTATCCTTTCTGCTGCTCGCTTGCATTTGCTTCTTTGCTCTCTTTTGCTATCATCTTGTGTGATTTTTCATTTTTCTTCTTTCATATGACCTTTCTTGTGTGTAGCCAGCCTGTGTTGACACCTTCTAGAAATATATCTCGGTGGGCTATGTGGTCTTCAATGGTCCCACGAGAGGTCTTTCAACGCAAGACTGCTACACACTATATAGTGTAATTCTCCGCGCTCTTAAACGGCCTGTGACGTCCGATGACATCTCGGACGGCGAGTCCGTCTGGAGTGTGGAGGTACACCCAGAGTCGCGGGCTCAGCGCCTTTCCACGAAGTTTGAGCCAATCGATTAACGACGCAGCACGTTGTCAGGGATCCGCTCGTTGAGCGCGGGCCAGAATTGCGCGAGCCCAAGCTCTAAGAGTCAGACGTTTGTGCGAACCCGGCGCCCGAACCGAGGCCTCCCATCGGATATGAGGAAGCAGACGAGGATGGATGCCTCCGTGCCTACGACGAAGGAGGCACCATCGGCTGGGCGTCGGACACCCAGACTGCAGAGAAACCGTTTCAATTATAGCTTTGTGCGGCTGGCGTCAGGCTCCGCTTCTGAGAGGTCGCCCAGCGTTTCACCGTCGGCCCGCGACCTCTGGACAGTGCGTGGCCAAAACAGACGCAGTTCGATTCAGCGAGCCAATTGTAGTTCATGCGCAGTGCTTCAATTTCTGTTGCAAACGTGTCAATGTTACCCACAATTTCATCCAAGCGGGTTGAAGTGTACGCGAGCCCTAGCACACCCCAAGCTACACCAACATACACCAACTGCAGGTGCTCTGGTCACAGTGACGGAAGTGACGGAGCCCTTCCCTGCCCGTCAAAGCAGTGAAGGGCATCACTGAATTGACCTGAGTTGCGTCACGGATGTGTCATTTGACACACGCGATGAAGCAGCACTGCTGTAGCCGTTTTCGGAATTTCACTTAGAAACTGGCCGTGGCTAACCCACGCCTGCAGCGATGACTTGGACACTGAGCTGACAGCGCCAAACGCGAATTTGGTTAGCGTCCCAATAGACGAACACAATCATCAAACACACGTTCACATTCCGACATCAAGCCGGAAAAGAGACTCAGCGTAGGGATTCTGAGCAAACGGACGCAGATGATCCTCAAACAGCCTGACCAAAACCTCCACTGTGCCTAGATGGAGTTGCAGCTACTCTCGCAAGAAGCCTTTGAGGGAGAGGTCATGCTTTCAGCAATGCGAGCAGGTGCCTGCGCCGCCACATCCCTGGTTCACACTTCAGCTTAAATGCTGCTCCAAAACTAAGGTGATCTGTGGCGGTCCACCAAGAGGTGCCACAACATGACAGATGTAGTTTGTGGGTAGGGGCCATGGCAGCTATATTCACAAGAAGCCTCCGTGCGTCCATGACACGGAGTGGTC